TTTTTCCGCTGAATTTGTTATTTTTATCATACTTCATAACAGACTTCACATTTATGTTGAACGGCTCAGTATACTCTATTCTAACGTATATACTGTGTTAAAACAATGATTTTGTTTATGTTGACAAGAGATTAGCAATTGTTAACTGCCCAATTCTGATTTTTATATCACATTCGTAATCAGCGATGCTGAAAACTTTGCTGAAAAAACTGTACTGCGCGGCGAAAAAACGGAAAGTTCTTCCATTTGTAACCGAGGTTCGCAAAACTTGATAATTTCTTACAAATTCTGTTTAATATTGCAAAATTTAAAAGAATGTTTTCAAAAATCGGGCTCGACAGTTTTCTTCTACATTGATTAACGTTTAATTAAAAAAAAAAAAACGCATCCCGATTGCTATGAAATTGGTCTCTAGCGACTTTTGAACAGTAAATTTCTATTTGTTCCCACTGTGCGGCGGTTGTATTATATTAGGAGTGCAATTTGGTTCTGATGGTTTTGCGCAAGAGAACTTAGCACTAAGGTCAGTTTTGTCGAAGACATTCCAATCAGAGCTATTGTTTCTTAATGGTTTAATGTTAATCCATGATATTTAGTCATTTGCTAACGAAAAACGCGATAAAAATCATGTTAATATCATCTTGAAAATGGAGATTCCTAAAGAGCATTTTCAAGATACGTTGCTTTTGTTTTTTAATCACAAAAAAACGGCGACCGAAGGCCACAGAATTCTGATAGAAACTTAGGTTGCCCCATCAATTAAGACACGTGAATACTGGTTTAGACGATTCAAGAATGGTGATTTCGATGTTGACGACAAAGATCGGGACAACCGAAAGAGCTTAAAAACGCAGATTTGCAAACATTATTGAGAACGAAAACCCAGCAGAATCTACTTCAGAACTTGCCAGATCATCAAATGTTGATCATACAATAGTTAGTAAATGTTTACACGATATGGGAAAAATTCACAAAGAAGGAAGATAGATTCCATATCAATTATCGGAAAATGCTATTGCGAATCGATTGAACAATTACATTTCGTTGATTGTCAAACAAAAAATTAAGAGTTTTTTGTATCGAATTGTTACCGGGGATAAGAAATGGATCTTTTTCAATAATCCCAAACGAAAAAGGTCATAGGTTGTGATTCGAGCCAACCAGCAACCATCCATTTCGAAGCGTGATATTCACGGTTCAAAGATATTGCTGTGTATTTATTGAGATCGAGAAAGTGTTGTGTATTATGAACCGTTAAATCCGAATGAAACTGTCACCGCCAATCGTTATCGACAACAATTATACAAATTGAAACGAGTGTTGGATAAAAAACGATCGTCAATTATGAGTAGACGATACAAAATGATCCTTCTTCACGATGCTCGACCTCATGTTACATTATCAAGCACGAAACAAACTATTAGAGCTGGAATGGGAAAAAAATTGGATCAAATCCGAAACAAAATCTTTTTATCGTCGCGGAATCCACCTCTTATCAGAAAGATGGGAAAAGGTTTGTAGAAAACGAAGAACAATATTTTAATTGAGATATTCGTTCATGATCTTGTTTAAGTAAATCAGTTTTCGAGAAAAAAAGCCTTCAAAACTAAATCATACTCATAATATTTACAAGAAGACCGCGATACGTTTGATAAGAATGCATATCTTCCAAGACACTCACATTCGAATCAGATTGCTTCAAGATTAGACCTTACCGCATCCCGCATATTCTCCATCACAATGTTCCATCCGATTATCACTTGTTCCGATCGATGCAACATGCTCAGGGTTTTCTAACCTCTTTTGTATTTCGCATTCCTAAAAATTGATTAATGAACCTTCGCACCCCCTACAAAAAGAAATTATTTGTATGTTTTATGGTAAAAACTAGTTGTTAGGGTTTTAAGGTAAAAAGTTAATTTGTAATAATTTATTATTTCATAGTAGTGTTTTATAGAAATTAATTATCATTTTAATATTATAAAATTATTATCCATAGTATCGAGCTTCGTATAGTGATACGTAATGAATGTATACGTACAAATACGTAAAAAATATATAATTTCAATAACATCTTTTTTAATTTGATGGTAAAAATACCGGATTATTCCAGAATTCATCTTAATCATTATTAATTACAATCATTTTTCCTCGCACTCCCAAGAATGTTTCTTCGCAGCCCCGGTTGAGAACCCCTGCTCCAGAGGATACACACTTTCCTTCAACTTCGAGGAAGTGCGAAAATTTGTGTAAAATTGAATCAACTCCGAAGAAGAACCTTTTATCGTCGCAGAAATCCATCTGTTGCCAGGAAAATGGGAAAGAAGTTGTAGAAAACGAAGGAAAACATTTTGATTAAGGTATTCGTTCATTATCTTGTTTAAGTAAATTAATCTTTGAGGAGAAAACCCCTTAAAACTAAATCACACTCCTAATTGAATGGGCAAACATACGACGGTCCTTTCATGCGCGACCTTCGGCTCCGCTTAGCGGAATACAATTAATCGTGTTAAGTGAGAAGGGACACGACGTCATTTTTTATCCATCTTTTCCGTCCCTACAGGACGCGCCAAATATTCTCACGCCTCGCGCTGGCGGCTCATAAATCCGCGGTCGAAGCTATCGTTACGTGTGGTTAGCGTGTGTGCTGTCCCGTCGCAGGATGAAACTTGACATTTGCGACCGACTACGTGATCAATGGCGGCAGTGTGGACGCGCGAAACAATCGCACGATTGTGAGACGTTCGAACGCTAGAGGTAGCGCTATTTGACGTGGTCGAAGCTGCGGTGCATCTCAAAGCCGAAGTCTGGAGCTTTGAGTCCCGCGACTCTACTCGGACGTTCGAAATACCGAAGCTCTCGATAGAGCCAATTTTGCAGTTATTCCTAATTGCCGTACCTTCGAGCTCTTCAAGTTTCAGTAATTACGCTTTGGTAACTTATCGCTCGAATATGATTCCCCGAAGTTTCAAACACGTTCCACACATATATCGTCCTAGTTCAAACGTTAATTATCGGCTTCCCTCTGAGAAGACTGAATTTCCGTGGTACTTTGTCTGAATTTAAACTTTCTGCCCATCCATCTGTTCCGTCTGTTTTATCTGCGATCAGTTTTATCATTGGCTTATCATGTACACACTAAGGCTTTTTCCCATTAATTAAGGTTATTATTATTATTGTTATTATTATTATTATTATTATTATTATTATTATTATTATCATACACAAGACACGCGTTGAACGAATAAACAGATAATAAAAAAACAAATACGCTTCGCACGATTCTGTCTTATTTGTCGATTGATACCGGTTAATTGGACAGCGAGATGTTATACGCGTCTGACAATGGGAGGAAGAAGAATGAGATGGCCCACTCTCTCTCCCTCTCTCTCTCTCTCTCTCACTCTCTCTCTCTCTCTCTCTCTCTCGCGCGCGCGCGGAATGAGGCGCGACTTTCAGCTTCGGATAACACGTGAGGGGTGTGTAACCCGTTACCGAACCCAGTACCGTGAATAAAGGACTTGGAATTTATTACTCGCCGAAAGAGAGCGAGAGAGAGAGAGAGAGAGAGAGAGAGAGAGACGGAGAGAGACGGAGAGAGAGTAGGAAGGGAGAGAGGGGGAGAGGGGACACTCTGTTACGCTTTCAATTTTGTACGGTTAGCAACACCAATGTTACGAGCCGTACGTTTGTAAAAGGAGTAAATATCAGACGACGTAAGAAACGTCGATTGGCCGCATTATCCCCTATTTATACTGTGAGAAGCTGTCCCGCTCAATTAGACCTTCTTCAGCGCGATTGATTCGAGAGAATTGTCGGCCTGGCTGCGATTCAATTTAAGTGCGCGTACGCGACACTGTCCGGTCGCTACGGGGATGAGAGAAGTTTCATCACGATAGAATCCTGGACTCATTACGCTGACAAAAGCGAGACCGTTAGGAAACGGTCCCGACGCGAATGATGCAGGTAGGTAGTCGGTCTACCTGAGGAGCAAGGGGGGGAAGGGACACTCATTTTCAGAGTACGCTTGATTACTTGGCGCAGACCCGGATACGCGTGCTCGACCGCGGAAATCGAACGCGAGCGACGGAGGACCGGCGACTGGCAGCCGATAATTCACAGCTGACAGCTGACAGTTGATAATTGATGGTTGACAGCTCGCGGGTGCGGAGAATCGCGCGAGATCTGCGCTTCCGGAGCCGCATCTTGCGGATCCTTCGTCTCATCTTTCGTCTAGCCCACTCTCGTGGCGAGATATTGGGAAGAAAATAGGAATCGCTATCTTGGGCCGCCAAAGAGAGTCGGGAAAGTCGACCGGGGCGCCTTTTTCAATGTTAATCAATGTTAATTATTCTTTTTCGATGTTAATCAATGTTAATTCGCCTTCTTCAATGTTAATCGAGCTACTAAGCTGAACGAAACTTTCCACACAGCCGACGCTCTGCCTGCGCTGCGCCTCTTGCGGAGCCGAGCTCGATTTTGATCTCTAAATCCTTCGAAATTGAGCAATTTCGCTTTTCTTCTTCTTCTCTCTCTCTCCCTCTCTCTCTTTGTTTTTACATAACAAACACCAAGGAGAACATTTCGCTGAGCGCGCGGGACGAGCAGCCTCTCTTCGCGCCTCGCGCGTGTTCTGTCCGTTTGACGGACACATCGCTCGCACGTTGCAAATTGTTCTCTCAAGTCATAAACAACGCGTCCAGACAAATGCGTCCAGCGATTTCCTCCCCCTCTCCGCGACCTCCTCTCCCCCCCCCCCAGTTGCCGGTCGTCCAAGCAGCCGTGCGTGCGCGCTCGCGCGCGCTATCGCCGTCAGTGAATTTTAAATTCAATTCTGGTCTCGTTCGAGAGAGGCCGTTCGATCTCTTCTGGTCGTCGTGGGTTCACACAACCACGACCATCGCTGGTTCTCGTAGGTGGACCTCGGCATGTTCCGTGGCTGCTCGGCTGCTCTCGGCCGACAAGCCTGCGCCGACCCCAGACGACCCATGGCGATGGTAGCACACAACTGGTTGTGGCTTTCACGAGGCAGGCAGGCAGGCAGACACGCCGCGCGCGCTCTCCATGAGCGTTCCGCTCCGTTCTCGCACCATTCCGCGTCGCCTCGTCCGCTCGGCTCCGTCGTACACGCGTCGCTCGATACTCGCTGCCGCCGCTGCCGCCGCTGCCGCCGCCGCCACCGCCGCCGTCGTCGTCGTCGTCGTCGTCGTCGTCTTCGTCGCGACGCGTCGTCGTGACACCCTGGTGACTCCGCGAACGCGCGCTTCTCTCGTCGTGGGAGTGTCCCTCGGCCGGATAACGCGCGTGCCGCGCGCGTCACGAGCTGTCAAAAAGCGGCCCTCACGGGAGAGCGTGCGTCGTGCGCGTCGTCGCTCCTGAAGGAAACCCGCGCGCGCTCTCTCTCTCTCTCTCTCTCTCTCTCTTTCTTTCTCGAGGCGCGGCGTGTGTCACGTGCAAACGTACGCGCTCGCAGACTTCGCGGGGCTTCCGTTCTGAGTCGCGCGAAAATATGAATCCTGTCGCCGCCAGTGCCGGAGAGTAGCGCGTCCGCTCGGGAGTTGTTGTTGCTGTTGCTGGTTCGTTGCTGCTGTTGCGTCACTGTGCGTCACGTTGCGTGGGCGCATTTATATACACACACACACATATATAGACTGCGAGAGTACACACCGCGCGAGTGGAACGTCACGTGGCGGCCACGATGCTCTGGAGACTCGCGGCGACGTTGCTGCTCGTCGTCGCGCAGCCGGCAGCGAGTTACTTCAACCTCTTCCTCAGCCAGACGGAGGTCCGCAGGCTAATGGGTAAGAGAGCTTTTTGCCAATCTTTTGTAAGACTTATAAGGTGACGGATGTGAGACGAGGTCGAGAGAGAGAGAGAGAGAGAGAGAGAGAGAGAGAGACGATGGAAGGCTGTTTTGTTCGTTCCGCCGGTTATTCCGCTGTTACGACGCTTAAGACGACGGGACTACCGACAATTAACGCGGCCTATTTCTCGAAGCCGGAGCGAACGAAATGTGAAAGAAGAAGCGTCGCGCGACGACGACGGGGATGTTCATCCGCTTCCTTCAGTCTTATTGAAACGTCCGTTCGAAATGTGTATCGTTGTCCAAACTCGAGTGACTTTTTTTTAGAAATCACAAACCGGTCGTGTTTTGACCGCTTTGCAGGCTTTGGTGGTTTTAACGCTGACGGAGAGCTGCGTAGATGCAGCAACCTGCGATATCAGAGTCTATCCCTCTGATTTGGATTCGTCGAGATCGATCCGCCGGGTATTTCTCCGACGAAAGTCAATGGACGCATCGTTGTGGCAAATAAAAGCCTCGTCATAGGCTTTGTAGCAACAGTCTCTCGGCGCAATATACATCTGCTCACTGAACATCTGGTTGCTGCTTCTTACGTCGTGGCTTTCAACTTATCTCGCTCTCCGCGAGATAGTAGTATCTGTGGGAGAGAAAGAGAGAGGGAGAGAGAGAGAGAGAGAGAGAGAGAGAGAGAGAGAAAAGAGAAAGAGAATCGTATCGCCGTTCCGCGGTGTATACGACAGCCAGGCGCGCACCTCGCTGATATCGGCGGCGAAATTTACAGGATTGTAATTTATTCCATGCATTTCCGAGTTGCATGCACGAGAGGGAGATGTGCGAAATTAAATGTAAGCCTTGCTCGCGGAGGCGATGCCCGAAATTACATCCCGCGGCCCGATCGCGTAACGACGTCGATCTCCTCGTCCGAGGATACGTGCTAATCGCAATCGCTCGGGACGAGAGCGACAGCTCGCACACTTTGCTCTCTCTCTCTCTCTCTCTCTCTCTCTCTCTGTCTCTCTCTTTCTTTCTGTTTCTCTCTCGCTCCGCCGCCGCTACTTGCGGTAATAACTTCGGACATGAAACCGGTATAATTTCGTACGTACAAATCCGGTTAGGGGTGAGCCGAGAACAGGGAAATTGGCCGTCACGCATCGCGCCTCGTATCGGGATTCCCTTTCGAAGCGATCGTTTTCCACTTTGTGCTTACGCCCGACGTGGCGCGCGCAATTATCAGATAAGGCCGTTAACAGCGCGCATTATCGATAGCGATTCCGTCCGAACGAGTGGCCAACAAACGAGATTATCGCGAGCGACGCGAGTAACCGAGCGACCGGCGCGGCAAACGAGGCCGATCTTTTCGATTCTTTTCGATTTCGCTCCCCTCTGACCCGCCAACGCGCGTTTCAATTCCGTCGAGAATTCACGCGACAGTGTGCGCGCTCCGTCGCACGCAGCACCGCGCCGTGTCGAACGCCGGACAATGAAGAATCGTGCACGTGAGCGGCTCGCAGCGCGCGCGCGCGCGGAGAGGGTCTCAAACTGGCCGGTGAATAATCGCCATCGCCGTCCGTTTCGCCGTAATTAAAGCGTCGCGACGCGTAATCATCGGACGTCGATGGTTGCTTAAAAAGCGCGCCTCTGTTTGAACGCATTTTGTCCGACGGAACTGTGACGAAAGCCGAAGTGGCACGGAGGAGATGGGGGGAGGGGGGAAACTCGGGTATCCTTGTTGTATTTTAATCAATGAGGTAAAAGTCTGATAAAGGGCCGTTGTTTGTTTGCACCGTCACTTTGTTTCATGCTCCTGTCGCAAGCGATTACCATGGCGGGCTGTCGGCGGCGGCTCGCAATTGTGAGCATTCGGCGTTCTCCTAACTTCCTGAGGAAAGACGTGCTCAAATCGTTCCTTAGACGAGCTGCGGCACGTCGGGAACGTGTCCCGGTTCGTTTGGACGAAGTTGCCTAAGCTGTTTACGGTAACACGGGCCACTTTAAGACTGACCGAAATACCTGAGAGGTAAACGGAACCCGCGCAGCGGGTTTAATATCGATCTTCTTGTCTATTATCCATATTTCCAGGCGCGGTCGATTTTTCATTCAGCAGGTTTCTCCGTTCTGTCTTCTGCAAAACGATTTCGCGGGCAGTGACAGACGTCGATTTGTCGGGTCACGTTAAGGAGCTCGACCGGCAGCGCTATCCGACGCTGCTTTATGTATAATTACGCATTTATGGGCACAATTTCGTAACTTGTGGTGGGCGATAATGAAAAGTGGACTCGCTAAGAATTAAAATATGTACGAGTATACAGTGCATTGACCTTTCGATAGGCGCGGTATCTGATGCACACAGTTTCATATTGAACGTCTCCGATTCTTCACGGTATTTACAGCGGGGCCGAATTAAAGAAAGAATTATTTTCATTAGACGCGTGTAAAATCATTATATATATACATTTGAACATTATACAGAGTGTATGAAAAGTAGCGGGACGACGAAATATCTCAGAAACTATATTATTATGTTTACGGATGGCGCCATTTTCGAGATATTCATTGATCATTACTTTTCTTAAATGGAAATCCCAATTTTTTATTATATCAACCTTTGGAAATTTCGAAATTATCAGATTAACAAAAATCAGGGCGCTATTTGCAAGAATATACTCTTAAGACCAAATAAAGTAAAAAAGTCTAATACCACTTTTACTTCCGACAAATAATTAACGAGATATCGTAAGTTAAATATTGGAAAAGTTATCAAGTTTTCCTTAAATATCTCAAAAAATATTAGGCAAATAAATAAATGACGTGTCAGACAGAAGTGATTAAAATTAACTGGTACACAGAGAAAACGATTTAATTGAATCTAACAAATGCTTAATTGGAATATTGGATAGCCCAAATAAATTTTTTTATTGATCGAACGAAGTTTTGTTTGACGCAACAAAAATATTTTGTTGCAGCTTAGTTACAACAACGAAATGTTTTTGTTGCGTCAAACAAAACTTTGTTCGATCAATCAAAAAATTTATTTGGACTATTCCAAATAAGCATTTGTAAGCAGATTCAACTAAATCGTTCTCTCTGTGTAGAAAAAGATGATACAATAAAAAATTGGAGTTTCCATTTAAGAAAAGTAAATGATCAGTGAATATCTCGAAAATGAAGCCATCCGTAAACAAAATGATGGTTGTTTTACGTCTCCCTTGAAACTCACACAACTTTTATCTGAAACTTTTTTTTCTAAAATGCTTAGTTTCTGGAGATATTTACCGCCGTCTCGGTACTTTTTATACATCCTGTATATATATATGTATATATATATATATATATATATATATATATATAGGTATATATGTAGGTGAGCAAAAAAGTTCCGAGCTTTTTTTTGCAAAATTCAATTTCAATTTCCCATTGCATGTAAACGTACGGAAATGGCTTGCTGCGTAACGCCAAGCTGCTCTGCAAGCTCCTTTTCAGTTTGCGCAGAGTTTATATCCAGCAATGCTTGCAATTTGTCCGTTTCAATCTTTTCGGAGGGCGTTCAGCACGCGGTTCATCTTCAAGACTGAAATCTCCTTGGCGAAATTTTTTATACCATCTTTTACACGTAGCATAACTTACAGCGTTCTCTTCGTATGCGGCACGAATCATTTCAGTGGCTGCAGCAGCATTTTTCTTCAGATGAAAGCGAAGTGGATGGAAAATCGAATATGCTCTTTCGTTATTGCCATCGTGAACACTACTGATTTTTGATGTTACGTGCATCAAACGCAAAACCGCATGGCATTTCAAAAGGCAAAATGTCGACGCTTTAATACCGCCAAAGGGCGGGAAGACAATTAAAATTTAAATTGTTATTTCGGTTGTATGAAGTCTAAAGCTCAGAACTATTTTGCTCACCTAACAGATAGATGTAATTTATAATTATATTTACGAGGAGGAGAGGGATTGACAGAGAGCAAAGAGGGAGGGGGCGCGACTATCGGAGTTAATTAATAATTACCAGCGACGCGCTGCGGACGTGATCGATACAGACAGAATACACCTTGGACCGAACGCACGCTTGAGACAATGCGAGATGTGTGCGCGCATGAAGGGAAAACGAGAAAGGTAAATCCCGCGTGTTGCATTCCCCGAGCACAATCTTACATCGCCTCCCATCGGGCGCGATGAAACCGCTTCTCTCCCTCTCGGACGATCCAGCCGACTGTTCCATTCTCACGCTTTCGATCCTCTTTATCGCCACCACACGCTCTCGTCGGATTTCATTCGTAAGCCACGTTAGTCGGGAATCGTTGTACAGCCCGGCGCACACAGAATCGCTCCGCCGGAAACGAATAGAAGCCACTCGACGGCGGCGGCGGCGGCGGCTGTTGCCGCGATGGAGGTGCGGACTTTCCAATATTTCCTCGATAGCTTCCACGACGCAGGATAATTCGCTTTCGGGCCGTTGGGCCGCGAAAAGCACTCGCCTCGTTGCCTCCCGCCGTCGCAGTCGCAGTCGCAGGGGCACGAAGGGATGGAGGGTGGCGCGAATCCTGCGACACCTGAACCCGCTCAGGACCGACCACCCTCGGGAGAAGTGCGTTCGCGCATGGGATTGCGCGTTTCGCCGCGCCCCCCTCGGGATATCGGAGTCTCGAGCGCGTTTTCGCACGCGTCGAAGTCATCATCGACTGCGCGCGGCGAGGAGACCTCGGCTATGCTGCGATTCCGCCATATTCGATCGTTGTTGTTGACACAAGGAATCGTAGATTTCCCAGCTTGCGTACGATCGTTTGAATCTCGCGTGTAACTTTCATGTTGCCTTCTTCAGTTCTCTTCTTCTTGCCCGGTATGTGCGCGCGCACGCGAACGTGCGTCTTTTTTGCTCTTTCTGCGTTACCGAAATTACTCTACCCCCTAATTAACTTACTCTCTGCCTTAATTTGAGTGAGTTTGGCCCTCGCAGGAGCAGCGTGTGCTCTCGCCTCGCCCTTTGCGCGAGCTAGCTAC